TGGGACTCTGTAGTACTGTGTAGTACAGCAAGTGTACTATTTTTTTCTCGACCTGAGCTCAGGCAAGGTTACCCGCTGAACTTAAGCATATCATTAAGCGGTGGAAAAGAAACTAACCAGGATTCCCCTAGTAACGGCGAGCGAACCGGGAATAGCCCAACTTGAAAATCTCCCCTTGGAGAATTGTAGTCTACAGAAGCGCCCTCATGGGCTGGCGGAACTCAAGTCGGATCGAATGCCGCGTCAGAGAGGGTGATAACCCCGTCGGTTCCTGCCTAGTCCTCTCACGAGGTGCTTTCCACGAGTCGGGTTGTTTGGGAATGCAGCCCTAATTTGGAGGTAAATCCCTTCTAAGGCTAAATACTGCTGAGAGACCGATAGCGAACAAGTACCGTGAGGGAAAGATGAAAAGAACTTTGAAAAGAGAGTTAAAAGTGCTTGAAATTGTTGAGAGGGAAGCGATTAGCGCTTGTGTGTGCCCCCAGGCTTAAGTGTGCCTAACGGCCCATTGAATGTGCTGGGTGCTGGTCAGAGTGGGTTGTCTTGGCGGGAAAACAGTTGGGTCCACCCCGGTAACCCGGCCGATGCCGCCGAGATGACCAAGGCGTGAAGGTTGCTTTGTCCTTCGGGATCCGCATCCTAAAGACTCTGGCAGANAAGCGTTAATCGACCCGTCTTGAAACACGGACCAAGGAGTCTAACATGTATGCGAGTTGGCGGGTTGAAAACCCGTAAGCGCAAGTAACCTGACTGGTGGGATGGCCTGTGCCTGCACCATCGACCGACCATGTTGCTTTTGCGAAAGGTTTGAGTGCGAGCATACCTGTTGGGACCCGAAAGATGGTGAACTATGCCTGAGCAGGGTGAAGCCAGAGTAACCTCTGGTGGAGGCTCGTAGATGTGCTGACGTGCAAATCGCTTTTCAGACTTGGGTATAGGGGCGAAAGACTAATCGAACCATCTAGTAGCTGGTTCCCTCCGAAGTTTCCCCCAGGATAGCTGGAGCTTGATCAGTTTTATCGGGTAAAGCGAATGATTAGAG